TCCTGCAGCTGGGATGATGGGTCAAAAACAGCCAGATAACATTTTATCAGGTCATAGTTACGGGTTTTTTTTTATTTTGTTTCCCAACCACAGGATAGCGTTTGTAGCCTTTCCTAAAAATCAAGTAAAAAAAAAAAGTTCTTGGGTTGTCATTGACTACAAGCTTAGCGTAAGTAAAAGCAGAATGCAGCTGCTTTCCAAAGGGCAACTTTAGGCTCTACATCAAAAGTGGATGGTCAGAGAAAGGAGAAGTGTTCCATTGCTTTTTGTCAGTCTAAGAAATACTAAGTCTTGGTTCTAAGCCCCCACATTATTGGGAACGTTACCATCTAGAAACAATTCAGAGAGAAGAACTAGAGAGAGAAAGGGACTCTGGAAGCCATGTTGCAAGAGACGGAAGTGAAAACGTCTAGCCCCCAGCAGACATGATGGCCACCGTGAGCTCTCTCTGCATTTGTCTTCGAGAGTGGACACTTCTGGATTGCTCCAGAGAGCGAGGCTGGAACAAATGGTTAGAAAATAAAAAGATAGTAAAAATATTCTAACAATAACAAGATATTCCAACTACGGACTGCATCCCCTCAAATTAGCAACAAGCTCCCTGGCTCGTCATTTAGAAGTTGAATGGCCAAGGATAGTATAGAGTAGGTTTCTACACCAGATCCCAAGATCTTTGTTTTGCAACTGGAATTCTATGCTGCCCCAAATAGCTGTTAAAGGGATCTTACTGCATTTCATTCTGTGGTTTATAAATAAGTCGTGGAAAAGGAGAATGAATTATATGGAGGGAGTTTGCTGAGATCGGAGGAGAGGGATCTGAAAGACTCAGACTAGACTCTGCCTTGAGGGAGAAAAAGCCACACGATGACACACTCAAAGCAAGGGAAACCGTCAGGAAGTGGAATCACTGCCCTTCATATGTCATCCTTGCTTTTTTTTTTTTTTTTTTTTTTTTTTTTTTTTTTGGTCATTTGCTGCCATGGCAGCTGAGCTCTGGGCAACAGGGCTTTCTCTCCCGAATGCCTGAAAGGAGGTCAGTGAGTGGAGGACGCAGGTGCCCGCTGGCACAGGGCGCTGGCAACCGCGGTGCAGTGAGCCCCAGCACAGCCAGGGTGGCCATGTGCATGGGGCGTCTTGGCCCCAGGTTGAAGTAAGCTCTTCCTGTCATAGTTCCCATCTGGAAAGGTGTTCTGTTGAAAGCAAAAAGGATCATGAAGTCCATTGCCTTTTACCCAATGCCAGTTGCAGACTCCAGGTAAATGAGTTGACATCAGAAACACCTTAGCCAACCGGGTGGTGGTGGCTCACGCCTGTGATCCAAGCACTTTGAGAGGCCAAGACGGATCACCTGAGGTCAGGAGTTCGAGACCAGCCTGGTCAACATGCTGAAAACCCCATCTCTACTAAAAATACAAAAATTAGCCAGGTGTGGTGGCAGGAACCTGTAATCCCAGGACTTTGGGAGGCCGAGACGGTCAGATCACCTGAGGTCAGGAGTTCGAGACCAGCCTGGCCAACATGCTGAAACCCCATCTCTACTAAATTAAAATGAGCCAGGCATGATGGTGGGTACCTGTAATCCCAGCTACTCAGGAGGCTGAGGCAGGAGAATCACTGGAACCCAGGAGGCGGAGGTTGCAGGGAGCTGAGCTCACACCACTTCATTCCAGCCTGGGCAACAGAGCAAAACTCCATCTCGGACAAAAACAAAAACTACCTCAGGCTGGCCAGGAGCAGGGCATACCCCCAGAGACCTTGGACTGAAGAGAAACTGTCCCCCCATCCCAGCTCCCCTCCTCTGGGGCCCTGCTGGGGGTCCTTGTCCTCAGCCCAGCTCAGGGGAAGGAAAGGGCTCCCATGTCACATTCTTTCCAGCTGTCCTAAGAGCCACCCGATTGCCGATGATACTCCCTCCTCTCTTGGGCTTCACCGGGGCTGCTTTCAACTCATCGTGGGATTGTGTAATTATGGTGATTACAGCTTATGGCTTTTTTCCTCTCTTCATCTTTTGCTTTCAAATTCTTTGAGGCCTCTTATTAAGCATGGCAATCCTGGTAAAGTCAGCAAAGTTTTAATAAGACACTTCTTGCAGCTAAAGAAAGCCCAGTCCGGGTTGATTGCTACTATATTTCCTCATGTATTCCATTAAAACTCTATCAGGCACAGTTGGTGCCTGGGTATAAAAGGTGAGGGAGAAGCAGGGCCGGGGGACAGAGGGCGCCTGTTCTTAGTCACAGAGCTGGAGAACCATTCCACACCATGCCCCTGGCCTTTTCCATGTGCACCAAGTGTCAAGTGCATCTGAGCCCCCATGCCTGATAGGAAAAGACAAACTGTCAGGAGGCAAGGACGGAAAGCCCGGCCTTAACATCATAGCCGATTACACTGGGAAAGGAAGATGGGACATCCAAGACAATACTCAACCCAACCTTGTCATCTGCAGCAAAAGTAGTGGGGGCATTCTGACAGGTGCTCTGCCCTGGTTAATAGTGGAAGGTTCTGAGGCATCCATAATTCTAAATAATTAAAGGAGTCAATCACTAGCCTTTGTGAGTCATCACAATCCTGTGGTTTTACACCTGATGGAGGTTTGCCTGGTAATGATTCAGCTTCAGATCTCATTCTTGGCTAGCCTTGAGTCATAGCTTTCTTGGTGGTGGTGGTGTTTGTTTTTAAGACAGAACCTCGCTCTGTTGCCCAGGCTGGAGGGCAGTGACACAATCTCAGCTCACTGCAACTTCCACCTCCAGGGTTCAAGTGATTCTCCTGCCGCAGCCTCCTGAGTAGCTGGGATTACAGGCCTGCACCACCACACTCAGCTAATTTTTGAATTTTTAGTAGAGACAGTTTCACCGTGTTGGCCAGGCTGGTCTCGAACTCCCGGCTTCAAGTGATCTGTCCACCTTGGCCTCCTAACGTGCTGCATGAGCCACCGTGCCCCGCCCATAGCTTTCTTGAAGAGTTATCAGAGTTGTAGGAGATTATGAGTGTGGGTTGTGTGTGTGAGCAGGTTCATCCAGGTTCCCTTTATTTCTATATTCCCCCAGACTACACAGATAACAGCACAGGGAGGTGCATCTTGCCCAAGCAGGACTGTGTTTCTGAGAGGCCCCTGATTGGCTGCCTGTGGCTGACAGTCCCACACCCACCAAACTGCCTTTTACCCTGCAGGTAGCCAGTTACCAGACTGCCCAGGTGTCAAAAGAGCAAGGAGCTGGACTGCGACTGAGCAGCACCAACCACCTGGAGCTAAATGTCAAAAACCTGGCAGGGACATTTCCTCTAACTGCATTCTCATCCACTACCAAAGATGACCAGCTTGTGTGACCTCCTCAGAACCGCATCCCTTTAGTACCCACCAGAATGCACAGAAATAAGCTAAGTTCGGTCAGACAACCCAACTGAATCCCTTTTCCTCCACCTGATAGAAGTATATGATCCTGGGCAAGTCACTTGCATGCCCAGTGGGTACAACAAAGCCCACTGCATAGGGAAGAGGCTGGCATTAGATGAGGGTGTGATGGCAAGCACCGCCATTTATTGGGAGCTCATAATGTGGTACTGTGTCATGCTGGCTTCACCTGGGATGGACTGTGGTTCTACTCCAACTCTATCCATTAGCCGTGTGAATTGCACAGCTTTTCTAAGCCTCAGTTTCCTCATCCATAAAAGGGAAGTAAGAGTAAATAAGTAGGAATAAAATTCACAATGTGCTTAGCACAGTGTGTACAGTGTGTGTGCTTACTAGGTATAGCTGTTAGAATTATGATGTTGTTTGCAGCCAACTCATACTTAGCTCTGCACTTATTACCTTATTTAATTTCCAACAGTATTCTGCAAGGTAGGCATGATTCTATCTATTTTGTGCTTGAGGGTGGGTATGTGGGTATCTCATATGTGACAGTGTGTGCGAAGTACATTTATTACAGAGACGAGCTGATGGTAACTACTCGATAAATGATAGCTATTATTGTTGGCTTATTTTTAAACTTAACTCAGAGAGGTAGTTTTTCTGCATTTCCTGGAAATTAAGGGACTATGGTGCCCAGCAGGCCAGCTCCTGCTCTGTGGCCAATTTCCTGGAGCCCTAAGCACTTCCCAGGAAGCTGTGGGAACCACGGGGCTTGTCAGCCTTTTGTGACGTGATGGGAGGTGGGGAGGGCCAGCGGGCAAATGGTGCATGTGTTGTGGGGATCTGGCATTTGGCCCCTTACTGAGGTGCAGGACCTGAAGATGCCTCCTACTACCAGACACAGATCAGGAATAGGTCTACCCATGATAAGATGAAACCCACTCCTCCGAATGTAGCCCCCACGTGATAGAAACACTCACCTCTCAGCTGTCTGCTTGCCTGGAGCCACCCTGAGCAATGCAACCTCAACAAAGTCTGGTTGCTCCATCGGTCCGACAAACAGAGGTTTCCATTTTTAAATCACTTGTTCCAAAGCAAGGTAGTGGAGGAATCAGAAGCAGGGGATGCTTTGAAATCCCTTGATAAACCGGACCCCTGGGGTGGGCCTTCCTACTGCCTATAGTTCCGACAGAAGCAGAAGTGGAGAAGCCATTTCCATGGAGGTGAATAAATGGCTTTTTCATGGGAGAGGATTCTGGTTTTATATATGTATTTTAAGGTGAATGCTTTAAGTTTGCAGTATTTATCAGAGTGGCATCTTAGGAGCTGATATAAAACTCTACAGCCAAACAAGCAATTGCCTGTGCACCTTGCATGAGATGCTTCTGCAAGTGCCTGTGGTCTAAACATGCACATGAACGCATACGCGGGTGCATGTGCAGGCTGCCTGATGTCCGCCTCTGGGTTCGGTGTATGGTATGTGTAGAACCATACGCTGCAAACCTGCAAGTGTCTCTGTCGCATGGATTGCATGCCTGCTGCAGCTGTATGTGTGTCTGGGCAGGGGCTCCTCTAAAGCCACAGGTCTTCACAGTTTCAGCTGGATAAGTTATTCTTCACTTCCCTTCCTAAAAACACAATTGCCTAGTGCTGCTGGCGCAGAGTCAGAATGGCCGCTGCATTTCACCCCCGAGGTGGCTTCCTTCCAGCAGTGGGTGAGTGATCCCGGCGTTCGCACGCTCTCTAACCTGTGGGATCCTTCTGCACAGAAGGTGTTCCAAAATCCAAAAGAGATGATCTGTTTGTCCATGGCCTTTGCTCTGCCCACCACTTCCGTCCTCATGCCCTGGTTCCAGGGACAGTTGGCAGCACCCATTTCTTGGTGTCTCCATGTTTGCTGCCGATTTTTTGTACCCATAGTTTTTCTCTCTTAAGAGCTGAGGGGTCCAGAAATGATGCTGAGATGAGTTCCTTGTCCCAGAGGCAATGTGCAAATAATATCCTTAGGTATTGACCCAATAACTCTCTTCTCCTGGTCCACATTCCCTTGCAGAACAGGGAATGCCCGCAATCTTTGAAGATGCTTCTAAATCCAATAGCAGCATCCTTAGGCTTCATTTCCTGGCGAAAGCTGCCATAACTCTTCCTCTGTGGGCCCTTGGCCAAGTCCTGCAGAAAACATAGCAATCTCACATTTCTACACACTACACCATCAGGGGAGAAGGCGGCTGGGAAACAGCCCATCCCCTGTCCCACGGGGACTGATAGCATCTCAGCAACCCGTGAAGAGCCTGTAGGGAAATAAGGTTCCCTGCAGCTTAGAATTCCAATGACCCAAGTTTCTGTCATTTCTTGAAAATGCTTAGTCTGTTCCCTGCTGTACTTTTTCAGGTTAGGAATGCATGTCTGGTAAGTGCCTACTGCATTGCATTCCTGAGCGTGGGGAAGAAAGAGAAATGAGTCAGCCCTCTTTGCATATGCATCCAAATGGTCATGGACATTCACTGGTGCTATGCTTTTGTGAGGGGATGAGGGGTCAGCAATTCTAGGCTCTGCCTTGTCAGCTGGCTAAACCAAGGACCCCAACAAATGTATGTGTTTTGGGTGAATACTTTTGCAAGAGATGATAAGTGTCCCTAGGAGGATGAAGTCAGAGTCCTCATGGGTCCTTGGAAGTATCCCATACTGCCAAGCAAATAACTTTCTGCTTCATCCACAGTACCAAGTAACTAAACTCCAGCTTCACTGTCTCCCGTAGTCATAGTCAAGGGTTACTTGAATTTCCTAGTTGGAAAAAAGTAGCATCAAGTTGTTGCCAATAGCAACACAGCCATGTCCCTGTTCCCTGGAGTCTCTTGGTCTTTGCCTAATTTGGAGTGAACCAGAGCTTAGATCCCAGAGTCCATTTGGGAAGGAGGAAGAGAAGAGGAACAGGTGGGCATTAAGTGGGTCACAGGAAGGCATGCCACTGAGAGGTCTTACAGGCAGAATGCCCCCCTCCATTCTACTCCTGAAGCCACCAAGAATTTCCTGCAGCCTCAGAGTAGAAAGAGCAACAGGACTGTTCAGTCAGCTGAGAGGAGGGAGAGAAGAGAGAGCTGGTGTGAAAAGGGGGCATTTCCACCACACGGGGATACAGGGTAGCAGGGAAAAGGGCAATGCACAAATTGGATGTGAGACCGGGGAGTCTGGGCCTGGCATTCTGCCACTCGTAGGCCTCTGCTGCTGAGTGCTTGTCTCTCCTGGCATCCTTGCCCCGCTCCAGATTTGTCCCTGCACAGCTGGGGGACCATGGAGAAAGGCCCCCCCCATCACTCAGCAAAACTGACAGGCAGAAGTAGGTGATGAGCATGGTGGGGGCAGGATTAGAGATGCCAGGAACACCAGCAGGGAAGGCTTCCCCCACCTAGCTGGGCACCCTGAATTAGGTACTTGACCTAGAATGATTTGAAGTGAGGTTGGTTCTCATTAGAGGGAGGCCATCCTGCCTGCCCCACCTAAGAATGGTGAACATCACACCTGCTTCTGTCCTCCCTGGAGCTTTTGCCATGTGTGTTCCTAGAGGAATCAGCACCAGTAACACAGGGCCACAAACAGAATGCTGGCTTCACCCAGCCTGTCCAGCAGCAACCACCTGAAATCTACATGCACCAAGCCATGGTGACCTGCGCCCCAGCTCAGTGCAGTAACTAAAGCCCCTTTTGCTAGGGTTGCCAGCCAGCAGATGGTACCTCCTTTCTCTCAGAATTCCCAAATGGGATGAGAGGAAGCCCCTTCGCAGGATAGAAACTGCCCGAGATGGGTTCAAGCATGCTCAAGAGTTTAAGTTCTTTCCTCAAGGAAGTTGAGAAAATCAGCCTGCATTGCCTAGCGAGGTTGCCCAGTGTGGGTGGGCACAGGGGGACTCCTTCGTCCCCAGGTGTTTCCATGCCTCCTTCCTTGAGAATGACAGCCACATGCAAAGGAAGAGAGGCATGGGTCATGAAGGCCGACCAGCTCAGCTCTGCCACCGACTAGCTGTGCACTCCCAGGCAAGTGACTCAAGCTCTGTGTGAGTCTGTTTCCTTGCTAATTTAGTGGAGTTTATAGAAATGCCTAACTGGCAAGCATGTTGTGAACATAAGTCCAGGTGTTTATAAAACGCTTTGCATGCTCGACACACAATAGTTGCTCAATGGTCCATCAGCAGGTGGCTGTTAGTAACTGTCCTCACAGCTACATGTGTTCCTAGCGGGGGGACCATTCCCACCATGCCACTGTCAAGGCCTGGGTTATTTGAAGAGCAGGGTACTTGAGAAGGGAGGGTACATGAGCTATCCACACCACTCCATCAAACTGGAAAAAGAAACTCAAAGAGAAAGGCCCATGAGAAATCAGGGGATAGGTGGGTCCTTTTACATTTAATCCAGATAGGATAACTGGCAACTCATCTTTTCTAAATTCAAAAACTTTAAAATTTTTAAAGCACTAGTAGTTGCCAAGTGTATTAGTCCATTTTCACATTGCTATAAAGAAATGCCCAAGACTGGGTAATTTATAAAGAAAAGAGGTTGAACTGACTCACAGTTCCACATGGCTGGGGAGGCCTCAGGAAACGTACAGTCACAGTGGAAAGGGAAGGAGGCACGTCCTCTGTGGCAGCAGGCAAGAGAGAGCGTGTTGTGTATTAACATTTCTAAAACCATCCGATCTCATGAGAACTCACTCCCTATTACGAGAACAGCATGAGGGAAACCACCGCCATGCTCCAGTTACTTCCTACCAGTTCCCATCTTCAACACAGGGGGATTGTAGGGATTACAATTCAAGGTGACGTTTGGGTGCGGACACAGAGCCAAACCATACCACCAATACAGGATAGAGTAAGGCGTCTGAGCCTACCAGTGGTCCCAGTGACATTCTATGGAAATTGTTTTCAGATGACCTACTCCTGGGTAGATCCCATATTCCCCCTGTTTACCAGGCAGAACCTGAGTGTTTATACTACTGTATATAAGACAGGGGCTACTGCAAAAGAAAAAAAAAATCCGTATTTTGATCAAATTTCTTATTTTTTTTTAAACAGGTTCGGTTTTAAGTATCCATGAGTGTACTATATACTAATTCTTCAACCAGTGAACTTCTTTTTTGATTAATTCACTCTTCATCAATCCCTTGGTGTTTATAAAACTGGGGTATTGTTTTATATTTGTGATATAGCTTCCTATTTAAAAAGGGTCAAATAAACAGAACATTTTAAAATCATATAAAATGCCCTTTGGCCCCTGAGAGAGATCAGAAAGCTTGTCAAGGACCTGGGAGTGACACAGATCCCAGGAATCGGTCAGCCACAGGCTCCTGCCCCTCCTCACTGGGGAAGGGCGAGAAAGCCAGGACTGGCCTCCCTTCCTCCCCATGCCACTCTGACCTACCTCTGTTGTGGAGGAGCCATAGCGGGTCCCATAACCCAGTTTTTCCATTTCATTTGCCCCACCTTGTTTCACAGAGTTGAACAGAGTGGGTGATAAGAAATAGAGAATTTTTAAAGTGTTTTCAAATTATTCTATGTTGAGTGTGGATTTTCCCACCACCCCCTGCCAGCGTTTCTGAGACATCCTAGACAGCACTCTCTCCCCCCAGTTTTAGACATCGAGAAAGGAGATGCCATGGAATTCTTTGCACTCCCTTTTTAAAATTATTTCTTTTGCTCTGCTCAGTGGAGAAGGGGCACCAGGGGCAACAACCTTCTGGGAGTCACCCGATGGAGTCAAGTAGGCCTTTCGCTTCTCCCATCCTGCAAACCCAAGCTAGGATCCCCTATCTTTCCACCTGTCTCTTGGGCTCCTGACCCTTGTCATCACCAAGTCTCCCCAGTCCCAGCCCCAAGACCCTAATTCCACACACATACATCCTTTATGAACTTGAGCACCATCTATTCAAAGGTGACCTTCAGGCTCCTTGAGAGAGCGGCTCATCTCTGGGGTCTCCACTTCTTGCCTGCTAAAGTCGCTTGGTGAGCCGTATTCAACAGAACATCATTTTTCATGAGCAAGGATTAAAAATGTCTGTGTGTCACACCCAAGGGGTACGTTTGGGTCAATGGAGGCTAGAAATAGTGTTCCACATAAGTTCTGTTGCAAGTTCGAATTCCCCTAACAGAGGAATCCAGGCTCCTCCTATATTGGAGGGGGAAGCACTGAATTTCTCCAAGGCCAGGGATGGGCCCAGCAACTGAAGAACAGTAAGGAGTGGGAAATTCCAAGGCATAGATGTGATAGCTAGGACTTTTTTTTCCCCTAATCTTTTTTTTTTTTTTTGAGATATAATTATATATAGTAAAATGAACAGATCTGAAGTGTGTGGCTCAGTGAATTTGACAAGTGTATGCACCCGTGTAACCTATACCCCATCACCCTAGAAGGCTCCCTCATGTCCCTTTCCAATCAATTTCATCCTCCTCCCCCAGGGGCAACCATGGTTGATTTCTTTTCCCATAATAGCCTGGATTTTGACTTGGCAGACTTGAGATTTGTAACTTTGGTCTTACTTCATCTGAGCATATCAGCAAAAGAATCTCATCAGAAGCTCAGATGTCTTTACTCTCTTAGCATCGAAAAAGGTCCTCCCTGAGCTACTAATGCTTGGCTCTGCTGTCCCCGATTATGCCCCAATCTGACCCCAGGGCTACTCTCTGAGCCACAGCCCTCCTCCCAGCCAAAGAGTTTAGCATCAGTCTCCCAGGTAAGTAAGTGGCAAAAGCTCTTGGTAACCCAGATAGTGCATGCTTTGTTGATTACATGCATGTGGAAGTGCAATGCACAGAGCCACAGCATGTCAAGCAGCATGTTGATTTTTCTCACTGCACAAAAGGGGGCCATTCCTTTTGTGTGTTTCCTTTCAGAAACAAAGGATTCCATGACCACCTTCTTCCAGGCTTCTAGCCATCGAGATGGCCACGGAGCTGAAATGATTAATCAGAGTGGAGGGTGGGAATTGAATGCGTGGGTGTTAGTGAACCCAGCACTGAGCCCATGGTCCATGAAATTGAAGGATCCCAAATTCTATTGGATTACACTTTGCCAAATGTCTCAAAGGTGAAAAGCACTTTGTCGGTATGCAAGGCTTTGGTGTCTCTGGAATGTACCTTCTGCAGCTCAGTTCTTAATCACTGTATATTTTTTCACTTGGACAAAGGCTGCCTGCTAATAGCATTTTCAACCATCCTCAGCTGCTTTGCTCAGCTACGCCAAGGCCTCGGGCTGAGCTGGCTGCAGTTTCCTGGCACCATGATCCGTTCCCAACTGACCAGCACTGAGGAACATTACATATTCACACCCTGAAAAAAACTGCTTCCTCTGTAACTATGCAAATGCCAGGCACAGGCAGGCAGAATTACCATTCCCCTTCCAAAGTGGTTCCTTCAGGATCATCCAAACTGGAGGCAGGGATGAGAGTAAAGTGGGGGTTGGGGGTAAACGCCCTGGAGTAGGCAGGAGCTCCCCTCTCTCTGGGCAGAGAGAGTTCCTCAGGAGCTTCCTGCAAGCCTATAGGGGCATGCACTTCGGGGCAGCTCATCTCTGAACACAGGTAGCCTCTGCTATCAGATTTCACTTTGATCACTGAAAACTACAGGAGCCTCAGCTCTTCAGAAGGGAGGCAGCTGCTGAGCAAGTGTGATTGCAGTATTTCTTCCCCAAAGCCCCGGGCCAGGCATCTAGCCATGCCTGCATCCTGCATGATTAACCGCCTTCCAGCCTGAGCCTGCCCTCACTCACCCAGGAGGTCGCTGGGTAGCGGGTAGATTGCAGCTGGGCTGAGCTGCTTCTCAAGCAGACCTGAACCCTCATGACCTCCATCTTTAGCAGCAGAGCTGGCATTTGGTAAATGCGCGAAAGCAGGAGTGGGGAGAGGGAGACAAAAATGCCAAGCAGCACCACCTGGGTTGCTGAGAGGTTGGGAACAATCCCAGGGGTGGCCCCTAGGCTGGTCAGCCACATCGTCCCTTCCTGAAGTCCTGGGAAATAAAAGCGATTGGGGGAAGCGGAGGAGCGGGGCATTGACAGGCTGGCCACAGGTCCTTGGAGTCGGAGCTGTGAGGCTGAGCTCCAGGATTTAGGCAGGAAGAGATTAATTAGTGCCTTCAAGTCCGGCCCAACCCATTCTGTAGAACAGGGAAGGGTTGAGGGTAGGGAAGCCTCAGGGCCAAATTCACCTAAAACAAATAGACACATAATCCTCCAGAAAAAGAATCTCTAACCTCCCTCAACCCACAGTCCCCGCTCCAGCCAAAATGACCTTGCTAGTAAGAATGAAGCGGCAGTGAGGGTTTGGGCAACTGGTAAACCTCACCTCCTTTGTCTCTGGGCTTTTAATGTACACACTGGCAACAGACTTATTCAGAAGCTTGAGTGATTTTTTTTCCCCTATTCACCAGCTAAATGAGAGCCCCAAATGCTGTGGATCGCAAACCCAGAACATATATATTTGGATACACAATGTGTGATTTGTAGTCCTGGTGGAGGAGGGATGAGAGGAGGAGGAGGAGGAGGAGGAGCCATTGGCATGTGGTGGTGATCACAGCGACAAGCAGCACCTAAGAGGAGAGAAACCTTCCTTTGTGCCTTTCATGGGGCAGGGATGGGCATGGGTAACAGGGTAGGGGAGGTTTCTAACAGCTCTCACACAAGCAGGCCCCTAGACTCAACAGCCCCGCATTTCCTCAGAGAGGATGCCCCACACCCCATGCTTCCTGCCTTCAGGCCTGTACCAGGAAGGCACCTTCCCAAGTGACAAATGCCTCACACTCTATGTAAGAAAGGGCACTCAAGGAGAGTCACAGCTGGGTGTGTGCCACAGAATCCGGGGCTGGGGGGGAGCCCTTGAAGGTCAGCCTCTGCCTTCTAAGAGCTATTGTTGTACCTAACGTGCTCTGGACAAAGGCATAGCTATTCTGTCTTAGCGGTTTTCAAAGACCGACACCATAACCCTCGCAGATTTTTTTTTTTTTAATCTGATTAAAAACTCCTTAGCAGAGTACAAATGTATCCTGCTGCAGGCCAAGTTTAGTGTAGTTGAAGATTCAGATAAGGTTGCTGATGGGGAGATTATGTGGGTACGTGTGTGTGTTTAAGATGGGGAGAAAAAAATGATAAGTTTGGTCTAGTGAAAATGGGCAGTGAAAGAAATGGGGAAAAAACGGTCAGGGAGAGGTAGGGAAAGGCAGACTTTCTGACAGCTCCTGAGGCAATTTCATTTCTGGACAAACTCCCATGAATTCTCAAAGTCAGGCTGGCCATGGCCCTCCATGGAGATCTAAGCCAGATGCCACATTGTCCTGTATCCAGCAAATCCACAGCCCGTGTTGTTCGTTTATCAGACAGACCCGTTATCCATCAATTCATCAATCAGCAGGTTTATTGAGGACCCTACCAGGCTTCACAAACCTGATCAATTTTTTTAATTACATCTAGCTTACACACAGCCAAGCCCAGTAAACAAGACGAGCCCTCACACCCCACTTAGAAATGAACATGAGGAATCGCTGGCCCTTGCAATCTCACGGCCAAACACTGCAGCCCAGGCTGACGAGCTATCACGTGCCGCCCTTCACAGATGGCAATGGTGTCGCTGACCCGCTGTCAATAATAGGATGAGTCTGGAGTGCTTTCCCAGACACAGTGATCAATCTGCCTGGGCCCAGCCACACTCTCCTCTAGACCCCTGTGCAATGATATGGATTTCTAAAGAGGGTGAGCTGGAGAATAGGCACACACTATGTAAGGACAGTAAGCAAAGCCACTGAGCCTCACTCGCCCCCCTCACCCTCCTCCTGGTGCCCAGTCGCAACTCCCCTCTAGATTGGGGGCTTCTCCGCCACCTCTCCAGGACACATACACAACTGGCCTCTCCGGGCGCCTCTATGGCTGACGCACCCGGCCTCATGATTCAGTTCATTGAGTTTTTGAGAGGATCTCCCACATGGGTTATAGTTGAAGGGCTTGTGGGTTTCCTGGCATAGAGTCATCAAACTCCACCTGTGGGTGCCACAGATGGGAAGCCAAGAACGTAGGCGACAGCCGGAGTGCACTGCCCTGAGACCTACAGTGGCTCCAAGCCCCAGCAAATGCCACTCACTTTCACGGTCCCAGAAGGCATCATCAAGACCTTCACGTCTACCCTGCATTCCAAACAGGACTCTGCCTTCTTAAGACTCATTAATTCATTAGATTCGCATCACCCAGATCCTGAGTCACCCTCTATTTGAGTCAACCCACCCTCCCTGTCCTCAGTACACCCCAGTCTACCTTTTCCTTCCCCACGTGAATAAAATCAAGTTCAGGGCAGCCCACTGGCATTAAAAATTGCTCTACCTGAGGGTTTAAATATCTAATTTTGGTAAGTAAAATTCCCACACCCCCAAAACAGTACCAGCAACACGCCCTCACAAGGGGACCCTGCAGGACTCCCCTACCCTTCCCTGGAGCCCTGGTTTCTCCAGCTGTCCAAAGTTAAGGCTCCCGTATAGCCAGAGATCAGCTATCAAGGCGGTCAGTTGGGCTGGTCGGTCGTGTGGCCTCCGTGGCTCAGGCAACAATTAATTCACCTGTCCGGCTCTCTGTCTCTGTCCCCATCTGTGTGTGTGCGCCTGTGCGTGCCTCTCTGTCGGCTGTCTCTCTGCAGGGAAAGTCGCTGGCGGGCAAGCGCCTCACGGGCCTGATGCAGTCCTCCTGACCGTCCCCAGCGCAGGTCCAGGGCCCGGGCCCGCGGACCCCACGGGCAGCCGGCGGCGCTCCACCTCCGCGGACAGAGTTTCCTTACGGGGAGATTTGGTCACTGTGAAGGAGAAAGAGTGAGGGCCATGACGGGCGACGGTGGGGAGACCCGGTGGGTGAACGGGGAGGCCAGAAGGAAAAAGTCCACAGAGCCCGGCCCGGCGGCAGCGCCTGTCGACAGCCCTCTCTTCCTTGTACAGTTGTATTCCAACACTCCACCCGCTAAGAGGCCCTGATCCCAGCACATTCAGGGCAGAACACGTCACAGGGTTCCTGTCGCAACTACCGCTGAGATTATATCATTATCCTCACTCCCCCGCTGTCCGGGGGCGCTCACACCTTCTGGCAAGTTCAAGAGGGATGAGTGGACCGAGAGCACATCCAGTATTATGCATCACCTCCCTGGCACCTCCCATAGTCAGTCACCACGTCTGTAGAGCCACCCGGGTGTCACCGCCAGCACCACGCACCGCTTTCACGTAGAATGTCCACATCGCGTCTTCAGCAAGAAAGCAACCTCATGGACTGCTGTACCTCCGGTTCTTCCCACCCTCTGAGGTCAGCGTTGGGAGAGGTCCCCACCAGCCTGGTGGCTGCCCTTGGGTCCCATCAGAGGTCTCAAGGGTCCAGTGTTCGAGGAAGCACTGGTGTCGATGACAGAGCTTGTCGTTTCACAGCTGCAGGGATTCTGCTGACCATCTTTTTAAAAATTATTTCATAGTTTATTCTGGTTTTGCCCCCTTGTCCCTTGGTTTATTCCCTCATGTTTTACTCAAAATAAACATGGCCATGAACTCAGAGGCCATTGGGATTCTCCCCTCCGGCAGCCCCAGATGGGAGCTGGGAGGGCCCCCAGCCTGGGAGGCGGCTGGATTGCAGGGCTGGCAGCCCTCACGTGGTGGCATCCTGACAGGCGTGGTGAGACCCCTGCTGGTTCAGGTCCCCTTTGTGTGTGAGCTAGGACAGAGCATGCTATGATGGGACCAGGCCAGGCCACAGGGTTCTCCTCCCAGTCTTTTCTGAAGGCCCAGCAAAAGCACCCCCACTAAACCAGTTGCCCCTGGGAATGCAAAAACCTGCGAAAGACCCACCTGTATTCCCTCTTCGTGTGTCAAAACGACCATTTTTCAACTCAGCTGTGAGGTAATGTATGTCAAGCACTGGGTCAGGTGCCTGACACACGGAGGTGCTTAGAAGTGGTAGCTAATACTCTCATCGTCATTGTCGTTGTGATGCCTAGGAGCCCTCAGACAGAGCTGTGTTAAGTAACCTGTTTTTGAATCCAGACATTCACTCCCCCACTTGCTATGACTATCCTCCTTTGATCTATTTTTGGCCATAGGTTAAAAAAAAAAAATTTCCCTTGGGAGCATATAAACAAAAAACATAGAAGCAATAAAGCGATTGCTGGTATTTCTTTTCTCATGTAGCCAAATTCACCAGCCGGTGACTACCGAAGGCTCAGATGCTTGCTTATTTGCAGACCCAGCCTCCTGGGTGCTCCCCAATGACCCCTCTTTCCACCCTGCCACCTCTGAGTCTTGTCTATGCCTGCTTCCACACAGCCCTGGCCCCAGGGCAGCAGCCTTCTGCCCTCACAGCAGTGCCACCATGGGCATTAGGAGTCTTCATTATGTCGTATCCTTGTGAGTTCTTGACTACCATGCCTCAGTTTCCCCCACTGGTAATAGTTCCTCTCTTGGAGGTACAGTGGAAACTGGAGAGATGACAGATCTTGAATCCTCAGTGCTGCTCTGTCTCCAGAGGCAGCAGTATAGACCCAGATTCTTGCTGGACACCTGCACATGCTCAGCACAGAGGCTGGTACTTTGGAGGCACCACTCACCAGTAACCACTGGGTGAGTAAATGAATGCCATGAAGTCCCATTCCAAGTTATAGGGTCTTTCGACACTCCCCTTTCATCCCATTTCTCTCTGCATAAACCTCCTGTTTCAGAACAAAATTGCAGTCTAAGTTCATCTGCACCTAGCCTTGCCCAAGGATCCCCAGGCTGTGCTGACCCCCAGGCATAGGGCAAAGGGCATTCCCAAGCAGCAGGCACCTCTGTGCCCTCAGTTATCCAGGGCAAGGGGCCTGGCTGCCCCCTGCTTCTCCCCATGGTGCAAGGGGCATTCTAAGCCAGGCTGCAGACAGGGCAGGGTTGGCTTCTCGGCCATTCCTTCTGGCCCCCTGTCTCCTTCTGACCGGTCTCATCCTGGAGATCCCCAGAGGATCTGCCCAGAGCCAGGTAGACGGTGGCCCTGAGACGGAGCTGGCTGCAGGCTTCCAAGCACCTCTGGGGGCATCCAGAGGGAAGGGTCAGTAAGCACAACAGAGCTAAGGAGACTTCAGATGGGCTCAAACCCAGAGCAATAACCACTCACACTACTCCCCAGCGAAGGCGCCCATGCTCCCCAGCAGATCAAGCCAGGGGCTTGCAAGAAGGGAGTAGGGCTAGGCTGCCGACCCAAGGTTCATCTACCATGCAGACCTTGGTCACGCGAGTACATTTGGAAAATCTAGTCTTGGCCCGTCCCCCTTTGGCCTGGTCTACACAGCCAAAACTTCAGACTAGATTAGACGTCTGTAGGCAATTCTGTGGCAAAGCAGATTCCCCTGCCCAGCCCTGCCCGCTAGAAGCTGCCTTAGCCTCCCCGACTGGGTGTGGTCTCTGGACCTAGGACCCCTCCCTACGAGGAAAAGTGCTCTCCAGCCACAACTTGGCAGCACCACAGCCACAGCCACAGCGTCAGGGCAGCTGTAGCAAGTGACCACCCACTCGTCGGGTTAGATACACCAGGCACTGGCATCTGACTAAAATAACCTCTCCCTACATGGGAAGAGGAAAGCTTGTAGGTTGGCACATAGAAATGACCAGCCGAAGCCAGATGGTCTGACCGAAGCAGCAGGAACTCTCCGGGCTGGAAAGGAGGCTCCTGCCCTTCCAGAAAGCGAAGCATCAGCTTTGTTCTCCTGGGAAGGTATTGCTGTACCCCAGGAACAAAGGAGGGCCCTACTGCCAGTGCAGTGAGCCGGGCCTGTGTTCCAGGCACACCACCACTGAGCAGTCAGCTGTCCGGCCAGCACCCTGGGAAGGGCCTCTCGCCACGGAGTTGCAGCTTGGACTAGCTAAACACGTAGGGACATGCTCCAGGGGCTTCTTTCCTGGCAGGATTCCCGGGATGTTCAAACTACCTCACCAACAGGACACTGAACCGGGAGCCTGCCACCCACCTGGCCCCCTTGGTGATTGTGGAAGATGACGTTTTTCCTAAAATACATCCCTCCTGTTCTGCTCCAAATACATGAGCTTCAAAAACCACCACCAGGAAAGCCTTCCCAGAAGAAGGAAAGGATTAAGGGCTCTTGGCCTTGGGGCCTTGCAGAATATATTGGAGGGAGGTGTCGCTGCCATGTCCAGGAGCTGGGAAGCTCTGGGCTCGGGGAGGGCAGAGGGAGGGAAAGAATGTGTCACCAGCCTGGAAAAGGAGCTGCCCAAGTTGAATATGTAGCAAAGACCATGGGATATGTTGAATAGTGGCCAAATGAATCACTAATAACTCACCATGGGACCCTCTGAAGAGAGGCCTGTGCTCGTGTAACCATGGCAACAGCAGATGCCAGCAACCTACTCATTAGTACCACCCAGTGATAAGGCATCCCCTGGGCTAGACCCAGGGGTCATAAAGTAGCAAAGTAGCAAATGTAGCAATAAGGGGCCCAGGTCCATGTGGGGACAGGGTCCAAATGACCGGGCCCCGGCCCTCTCCCCAGCCCTGATGAGGGCTCAGAGCCAGCTGCTGTCAGCTGTCTGGGGCGTGAAGTCCGCACCGGGCCCCCATCCTATACTCTAAGCCCACTCACTGCATGATCACGGAAACGTCGGAATGGCCCCCTCTGAGTGCATGTGGTTCTCATTAGTTTATTTTTTCTGGAATTTGGGGATTGGACCCCAGAACCAAACATGCTGGTACTCTAAAAATAAATAACTTGAACCCACTTCAATCCAGCTAACTCTGTGTGGCTCCTTGGTTTGGGGGTTCATTGGGCAGGATTTACCTCTAGAAACATCGACCACCCCTCCCTACACCCTGCCCTTCCCCATTACCCACCCCCCCACCACACACACACACACACTCTGTTTCCTTCTCACTCCCAAGCAGGATGCCAACCAGCACAGAAGCAGCCATCTCTCTGGGGCACTGGACTCATCCTGGTAGGTAGACAGTGGTGTCACCATAAGGCCAAAGTCCCTGACTCTGCTAGGGTCTCCTTGACCAGGGAAGGGGGTTCTCCATTCCCCATTGTCTGTACTCAGGTGCAAAATCCTGTGGCTGCTCTGACACCCTCTTGAGTAAGATCCCAGGATCGAAATCCGCTGTATACAGACAGCTCTTCTTACGTGGAGTCTGTTTCCTGAGCGACAGACAGTTGCATTTCCCACTAACACCAAAGCAGCAGGACTCTGAGAACCTGAGCATCAAGCTGACAAGAGGAAGATGAGCAGAAGGTAAAAGCGCTATCGTACTGCAATCCCTCTGTGAATGATAAGGCGAACAGCTAGCTGCATACTTCGTGGCGGAAATTTTGTTCCTAAAGGTAGAAATGATTTCAGAGGCCTGAGAATGGGACTCTAGCCACAGCTAGAAGGGAACCAACTTGTCTCTCAACCCCTGGGCCACCCCCTTGTGCAGGACTTCCTGCCCCAGAGTCAAGATCAAGGTCACATCTGCCTCAGGTCCATAACATGTCCCACATCATGTCCTGGCCCGCCCCAAAAGGACCCATGCTTTCCTGTCCTCTTTGACCATGGCCACCACCTCCAGGAAACCCAGAGCTGCGCCTGCCTGCTCAGCTGGGCCATCTGGCTGAGCTCCAGAATCTTTGCTTATCAGGCTGTTGCTGTGCATGCGCCCAACCCTACTGACCGCCAAGAGCAGAGCTCTGCTTTCAGGTCCAGAATCAAGGTGGAGATTTGAGGTTACCGGTTATAACACAAAAAGCTGCACCCGCCCAAGAATGACAGCCGTCCTGCCGGCTCCCTCTCTCCTTACGCCCTTCTGGGGACTTGTGGTATAACAGGCATGAAGCTGTCCTCTCCCTCAGTGCCAGCCACCAATTGTTCATTGATCCCAGCCTCTGAGGAATCACTGGGGCCTCTGATGGGCGTCTTTGATCCTAGAACTTTTCCTGGGATGTGGCAGCCTCCAAAACCAAGTGGCTGTCTGAGTGGCCTATCCCCTCTTGCCTGCAGAGCTCCGCCCAGCAGGCTCTCCCTCCACCTCCCTTCCTTCACAGAAACACCCACACGAACTCCCGGTCCCCATCATGGGACTTCCGACACCTGCAGCTAGGCCCCTTTCCCTGTACCCCACCCTTCAGCACTGGATCTGCCCCAGTTACTGGATCTGCCCCAGACCCCATACACAGAGGCTGCAGTATCTGGCTTATTTTAAGGGGGCCTGGGGCGTGGGATGTATCCACAAGAGCTCCATCTGTCACAGAGCTCTCTGGTACTCTCTTGCTCGCTTAAAGCGTGGGCTCGGTTCTCCTCCTCAGAGCCCTGAGCTGTCCTGGCCAGGTCTGGCTTATTTCAGCAGACAAAACAGAGGAACAGCCCCTGAGTGCAGAGGCTGAGCCACCCTCGTTCTGAGCCTTAGTGTCCTCATTTGTGAAACAGTCCAGAGAATTTCGGTGGCTGTGAATTAATCTAGAGGTTTTAGCCTGGGCCTGGCACATGGTAAATGTTCACACAATGGGTGCTGGCGTTAGCGGGAGCCATGTCTGAGATAGGCATTGAAAGGCAGCAAAGGGAGGGTATGTTTGCAAATCCCTGCCAGAGAACAGCTTCCCCGGCAGCCCGCCTCCCACAGAGCCGCCCTTTCTACCAGCCTTCAGACTGTGGGCCTTGTTTGCCTGTGTGAGCAGTGGCCTCTCTCTGCATCTGACAAGCCCCTGGTTCCCTCACTGTGTGTCACTTGGATGGCCTCAATCAATAACCCTGCATTAACGGCCTGAGAAACAGAGCAGAGGGCCGGAGGCCTCCTCCCCAGACCCTGAGTGGAAAATGGAAATGCTGGAGATTCACGCTGTCCATCTAGATTCCCATTTGCCCAGTGGGCCTCGTGGCTGCTTCAGTGAGATTTGGATTCTGAGCTCTTGTTCCAAAATACTCCATTTCAGGCCAGTGACTCTGCCTTCTGACCTAGGACAAGGACCTGCCTCCGTCCTCTGAGAACGGTTGGCATCCAAGGGAACACGTGGACCTCCACAGGAGGGGCAGCCTCGTTCCTACAACTTCCAACCAAGAAAAGAAAGCCTAGTTCTTCTCTTCCAGTACATCACAGAAGGACTGCCGTGGGTTGGGAAAGGGTAGGAGGGATCAGGGAGGGAGGGGACATTTAAACAATGAGACAAGTCTCTGGATATCGCTTCCTGTGGCCTCGCCTGTGATCGCACCCTCTGTGGAGAAGAGTGAATATTAATACAGGGAGGAATCTTTGAGATTTTTCTGGTCTGAGTGTGTGTGTGTGTGTGTGTGTGTGTGTGCGTGTGCATCTGTGTGTGTGCCCATGTGTGCGTGTGTGTGTACATGTGCGTGTGTGTGAGAGACTTCGTTTATTAAGCTGTAATTTGCCTACATTAAAATTCACTGTTTTATATTACAACACTTACCAGTTTTGACAAATGTATACAATGATGTAACCACCACTGATAATCAATATAGGGAATAATTTCATATCCCTAAATGTTCCTGTCCTCCTTTATAGTTAATTCCTTCCCCCACCCCTCTGTTCCTGGAGGCTGCTGCTCTGTTTTCTGACTCTGTAGTTTTGCCTTTTTAAGAAAGCCACATGCAGACCGAGCACAGTGGCTCAAGCCTGTAATCTCTATACTCTGGGAGGCCAAGGCGGGTGAATTGCCTGAGGTCAGGAGCTTGAGACCAGCCTGGCCAACATAATGAAACCCTGTCTCTACTAAAAATACAAAAATTAGCCAGGGGTGATGGCAGGCACCCATAATTCCAGCTACCTGGGAGGCTGAGGCAAGAGAATTGCTTGAACCCAGGAGGTGGAGGTTGCAGTGAGCTGAGATCACACAATTGGACGGCAGCCACAGAGCTGGGCAACAGAATGAGACTCTGTCTCAAAAAAAAGGAAAGGAGAGAGGAGGGCAGGGCAGGGCCACATTCAGAGAGTCATACACTATGTGACCTTAGCCTAGCTTCTCTCACTTAGCTAGTGCACACTGTTGCATGTCTAGGTAACACGATCTTCAGCCTTTTGTTTTATCCATAAAGAAACTGTGGCTATAGTGGGAAGAGCAGAGGGAGCTGGAGGAACAGGGGTTAGCGTTCAGGTCATGACTACCACCCAGACCCTCAGGCTGGCTGGCCCTACTTCACGAAAGTCACCTTTTTAACCCCCTAAAACCTGTGAGCCACGTGCCTGTAATCCCAGCACTTTTGGGAGGCCAAGGTGGGCGACCACCTGAGGTCAGGAGTTTGAGATCATCCTGACCAACATGGAGAAACCCCATCTCTCTACTAAAAATACAAAAAAATTAGCCAGGCATGGTGGTGCATGCCTGTAATCCCAGCTACTTGGGAGGCTGAGGCAGGAGAGTTGCTTAAACCTGGGAGGCAGAGGTTGCAGTGAGCTGAGATCGTGCCATTGTACTCCAGCCTGGGTGACAAGAGCAAAATTGTCTCAAAAAAAAAAAAAAAAAAAAAAAGCTGTGAGCCAGTTTGAGAAACCACAGGATCACAGAACTTGCACATGGAAGAGAATGCATGCTTTCTTCATCTAACAGAAGTTACTTAGAGTGAGCCCTGTGTATCCACAGTTTCCATGGATTCAACCAACCATGGATGAAAAATATTTGAAAAAAATTAAAATACAACAGTAAAATACAAATTAAAAAACCTTGCAGCATAAAAATTATTTATACAGCATTTACACTGTATTAATGACTAAGTAATCTAGAGATAAAGTATATAGGAGGATGTGCTTTGGTTGCAGACAAATACTACACCATTTTCTAAAAGGGACTTGAGGCTCCTCAGATTTTGGTAGCTGTGGGAAGAGTGGGGAGTCCCCAACGAATATTGAGGGACAACTGTACCTGGAAACAGAGGGAAGCAGTGGTGCTTATCACGGGGGGAAATGGAACTATACAGGGGCACAAGGGGGTGATGGAATTATTCCCTATCTTGATTTTTGGTGGTGGTTACATCATAGTATAAGCAATAGTGAATAGCAGAGTGAGGCATTATCTATTCAGTTAGTAGGCAGTGCTTGGTGCAACTCTAGGTTGACTGGCTCCTACCAGTAACTCTGGAGCTCTCCCATGCCTTCTCTAAATAGATTAACACGGATTTAGCAAAGTGATAAAAGCTAACTGGAAACAAAGTGCCGGAATAGACCCCAGGGACACGGGGATCCAGGGTAGAGTGAGGCAGCCATGAAAACCAGGTCAACTGGAGGAGATGACTCAGGAGTCCCCTCAGTGAGAGATCTAAAAATTCACAAGTTCCAAATAATTGGAGTTTTGCTAAGCATCCTTATTAACTTACAAATTTAAATATATTTAATATGTTTTGATCCATTGCATTTATTGTCCTTATTGATGTCCCAAGTACCTTATCTTTGGCCACTGAGAGCCTGAGTCTTTAGACATGACCTTGATAATCTTTGAGAATTTCATTGCTATCTGGTATGACAGCATAATCCAGACCTGTCTTGTATATTTCCTCTCCCATACCCAAGTTTCAAGTGAGTGAAAGTCTATGAATACTTAGCTATAAAATTAGAGGGTCCTGTGATGGACTTTTCTTATGTAAACTGAATCCCCCATGGCTACAGATTATTAGAATTGAAAATTCCTTTAACAATCAACCAGTCCAGAGCCTTCATTCTACAGAATGGGAAACGGAGACCCAGAAACATCAAGTCACTTACATAAGGTTATACAGGATTATTGCAGTGCAAGGATTAAAGACTAGGGTCC